TACACTGACAGGCATGGCTTGTTACTTACAAATACCTCCCCTTCTCTCTCAAATTAACAGAATCCCCAATTTGTAACTGGTGAGTAATGATCTGGACAGCTAGCTAAAAGCCTGGTGGAATCATGTTTTAAGTTCTGGCCAATGAGGCGTAGGTGAAAGTGCTACATGAGACTTTCAGTAAGTCTCCTGAAGAGACAGAGGCCCCGGCCTTCTTTCCTTTCTCCATTTCAGGCATGCAGATGTCCTGGGTGGAGCTCTAACAATGAACCTGAGTTATAAGTACAGAGGTTACAATTAGGTTTCTCTGAACAGTGGCTTGGGACGAGCCTGATCTCGGATGGTTTTCTGTAACCTCCTGACCAGCCTGGGGGTCTGGACTTCTTTTATGCAAGAGACACTATAAGCCTCTCTTTTGTTTATACTGTTATTTTGAGTTCCTATCACTCAAAGACAAAATAATCCTAACTGATGTGGCTGACGACTCTGGCGGTCTATGAATTGAAATGGAGGCTTGAAACCATTTGGAGGCCTTGTTTCTGCAAATAAAGGCAAGACTGAGGCAAAAGTACCGAAAACCTTCCTTCCTCTTCCAGTTGGCTCTCTGCTGCCACCACCCCATCTTCCCTGCTCAGAAGGCCACATCTTGATGCCTGCTGTGCACAACCTGTGCTCAGAGAATCTGAAAAATCTGGTCCACACTAAGGTACTAGTATAATGACACTAAAGGATCTCTTCCAGTTCTTCCTGGCCGTTTACATTTTACGTAAGTTGAAGCTTTCTGGCATAATATATGGCATGATAAGCAGACCTCTGGGAGAAATATTTTGGGGTAAAGAAGTCCACACTACGGTCGACTCTAATGCAGTACCAAGCTCTCCCCTGGGATAAGGAAGGCCATATACTCAGAATGTTCACAGTCAATTCCCAAGGAGTATCCAAGATGAAGAGAAGAAAAGGAGTGAATATCGGACTGAAAAGGCAATTAAACAGCATCCTCAATTCCTCGAAACTACTTACTTTACACCTGTCATTCAGAAATCACTAATACATCACTAGAGGCCTGATGCACGAAATTCACGCAAGGGTAAGGCCCTCGTGGCCCCAGCTGCATCGGCCCTCACAGCCCAGGCTTCATCTGCAAGATCATCTAGATCACATGTGTCAAACACAAGGCCCGCGGGCCAAATCCGTCCCGCCAGGCCTTGCAATGTGGTCCGCACCGCGCTGTCATCACTGCACTCCGCTGCGTTTCCATCACAATGACAGTTTATGACTGTTCAGTAAACCATTCGGCCCGCGATTTAGGCTGGATTTTAGATTTTGGCCCCTTCTCTGATTGAGTTCGACACCCCTAATCTAGATGGTCGTTCTGATGTTTGGCTGTTTGGTCCATTTGCATATTACACTTTTATTATTATAGACTAGAGGCCTGGTGCACAAAATTCGTGCATGGGTAGGGTCCTAGGCCTGGCCAGTGATCAGGGCAAATCGGGGCCTTCTGGCTGCCAGCTGGAGCCTCCCTTCATTCTGTACTGCCCCCTGGTCATCAGTGCCCCCTGGTGGTCCACTATAGTAAATGATCAGTCTCCCGGTTGAACTCCCCTGGGGGTAATTTGCATGTTAGGCATATAATTTGCATATATACCCTGTTTCCCCGAAAATAAGACAGTGTCTTATATTAATTTTTGCTCCCAAAGATGCGCTAGGTCTTATTTTCAGGGGATGTCTTATTTTTCCATGAAGAAGAATACGATACACATTTATTGTCAAATGAAAATAAAAGAAATTTATTACCTGTATACGGTACGGTAGTACGGTAGTTGTCAACACAAACCAGACAAACTGTGAATCCTACAGTATCAAGAATTTACTCATTTATTCAATGACAATCATGTCATCATCTTCTGGAACATCATCATAACAATCCAATTCCTAAATTTCCTGGTGAATTTCTTGTGATTCCATTTCTTTCAGAATCAGTGGACCAAATCTCTCATGTTTAGCCTAGGAGGCCTTATTTTCGGGGAGATGCCTTATATTCACTCAGAAGGAAACCTGTAAGTAGGTCTTATTTTTGGAGGATGTCTTATTTTTGGAGAAACACGGTATATACATATACATATATATATAGGTTATACAAAATTCTAGGTATGGTGCAAATCAGAAGATTATTTGTTCATGACAAGTCAGTAGTTGTATAAAGAACCTAAACTACATTTCCCCAACTCCTGGCTCACTGATCAAATACTTCTCACCTTTTCTTACTTTCTGAATGTAAACTGAGTATGTATATTGGATAGATTTCATTTGAACAAGACAGTATTTGTATATCCAAACATAAAGTGTCAGAGAAACCAAGCATCATCTTTTTTAGTAAAAGATGTGTGTGTGTGTGTGTGTGTGTGTGTGTGTGTGTGTAATATGAAGGTCTTTCGCCTGCAAAACATGACCTCTGACCTCAGCTGAGCATGCACTCTAGATAAAGTAAAAAAAAATATTTTTTAAGAACTGAAAGTGCTCTATAGTGTACCTAATTAAAAAGTCATTGCTGCCGGGACCGGTTTGGCTCAGTGGATAGAGTGTTGGCCTGCGGACTGAAAGGTTCCGGGTTTGATTCAGGTCAAGGGCATGTACCTTGATTGCGGGCACATACCCAGTGGGGGGTGTGCAAGAGGCAGCTGATTGATGATTCTCTCTCATCGATGTTTCTAGCTCTCTATCCCTCTCTCTTCCTCTCTGTGAAAAATCAATAAAATATATTTTTAAAAAATAAATAAATAAATAAATAAATAAATAAAAAGTCATTGCTGCCCTGACCAGTGTGGCTAATGGTTAAGAGTGTCAGCCCTTGGTCCAAGAAAATTGGTCAAGAGTTCAATTCCCAATCAAGGGTATCTACCTGGATTACAGGTTTTGATTCACAGTCCAGTCTAGGCGTATGCAGGAGGCAACCAGTTGATGTGTCTCTCTGGATCAATGTTTCTCTCTCTCTTCTCTCTTCCCTTCCATTTTCTAAAAACCAATAGGAAAAATATCCTCGGATGAGGATTAAAAGAAGAAAACAACAATAACTACTCATTGCTTGTCTCCTCTCTCCTTTAATTCCTTAATTGATTTTGAGAGGTCAATGACTCTGACAGGGTCATTCAAACTCTGGTGGCCATTTCTAAGACCTGGCTCCCTCAGGCTTTCAGACTAATCCTGATGAGAGCTCTGAGGAGGTGTCAGCTGACTTGATTCAACCAAGCAGTTTGCTAAATGTCTGAGTCCACTTCATAGGCTGAATCCAGGAAAAATTTCACTATACACATCTTTCACGAAGATAAAATTTTCATAACAGTTTACTGATTTCTCATATTCAACGATCAAGTTTATCTTGGCCACCACTGTTTTGACTAGTACTGCTAATTTCAGACCATAATCATCAGGCTCTTGACTCTGATTGCTATGACAACCACCAACATTTTTTTTTTTTTAAACAATGCCCAAACAAAGGGAATCCTGTAAAAGTGCCACGAAGCCCTCATCTTAAAATAGTTCAATGGAAGATGACGTACGGTTTCCTTTCTGGAGGTCTCAGACTCGCAATGCTCATTTAACTTTTAAATTTCATATCCAGAGTTTCTATGATAGAAATGGTTGATGCCATAGGTTGTTAGAAATTAATAAATCACAGGCTAATAAATGGCCTTTACAATAAACCCTACTTCATTAGTTATTTTTTAATATGAATATGACCTTATAACAAGAGGATTTTGTATATAAAATTTTTGTATCTAAATACTGAAGGAGGAACTAACACATATGCCACAAAATATAAATGTATCACATAAAAATTTGGAAAGTGAGTTTTATAAGAACAGCACCAATTTAATAAAAGTTTAAAACTATGGGTTCTTTTCATTAGAAAGTATCAATGGAGCATTACAAACAATTTAATTCCCCAAACTGTATTTTATACACATGGCTTTTTAGGAACAAAAGAAATTGTAAATCAAGAAACATTTTAATACTAAGCTTCAGGTTTAATTCGCCTGTTAAGAAAAATTCAAATAATCTTTTGCAATGCAAATGCAAATATCTATAGTTAAACCAGATTATTATTGTTCATTTCTCATTAAGCAATTATGTGTTATAAAATAAAAACTCATCAAATTCCTCCAAAGGGAATTTGCATTTAATAGTATGATCATTAAATGTAAAACAAATTTACATAGGCATATGACTAATTCTAACTTGTAACCTCATTGACTTTGGTTTTTCTTAAAATAATTTTGAGTTATATACAACAGCCTGAATAAAGTTTAAATTCAGAAAAGCAAATTATTGACCTCTTGCCCTGGCTGCAATGGCTCAGTTGGTTGGCACAGAGTCCATATACCAAATGGTGGCAGGTTCAATTCCCAGTCAGGGTTACATACCAGGTTTCCAGTTTGATCCCTAGTAAGGGCACATGCTGGAAGCAGCCGATAGATGTTTCTCTCACATCAGTGTTTCTCTCTCTCTCTCCCCCTCTTCCTCTCTCTGAGAGATCAATTAAAAAAAAGAGAGAGACCTCCCCCAAAATTAATTTTAATATAGTAAGTCCTAAGCAATTTCACTGAAATGAAAAAAATAATTAAAGCACCAGAATAAAGCAACTCTAAATTTCTCAAATGCCAGAATGGTTAATTTAAGAATGGTAACAAAATATTTGGAATTGAAAAAAATGTACAGATCACATAAGATCTAACCAATTAAAAACATGTCATATTGAAACACCTATAATCTAGTTTCTTAAAGTGTGATAACTGCATATACATATTTACCTGAATGCCCAAAATGGCAGGGAATGGGGAAAGAATATAGTAGTGTGCATCTATCCATTTGGTTCATCATTTCAACCAGACAAGCATCTGTCAACACCCTAGCTTGGAAAGAGTTCTAATAAAAGCAGTATTGCTGCAAACCATAATTCTAAACCAAAGAGTCTCGCAAAAGAAGAAAGATTATGTGCTTACCGTATACAGCTCATTAAGAACCTTCATTAAATCCTCATGAAGTTGAAATGCAATCTCTTTGCTCTGTAATTAAGAAGAAATTAAGAAAGAATATTTTAAAATGTAGTAGAAACTTGTTTCTAAATTATTTACATCTTAAAAAGTCCACTGACTAGAATAAGAGAAGGACCTTTCTAAATACTAAATATAATATATGCACCAAAAGGTCAACACAGGCTGGACAGAGGCAAACAAGTGATTGTACAGTCTGAATGGCTTTCCCAACATCCAAATCAGACTTTATCAAGAAGAAAGAGAAAAGGTAAGCAGAGGGAAGAAGCATCATGCTTGCTTAGAAGTTGAGTTACAAAACTGGTCAATAAAAGTGCATTCCCACATCCTGTCTCCCATCTTAATATTGCCACAAAGGAGTTTTGTGGTGTGATTCCAAAAAAAAGCTAAGTTAGAAATCAAAAAGGAAGTTCATTTTCCCTTTTCAAAATAACTACCTGACTGTAGACAGCACCTGGGAAGGCATATGGGCATTTCCTTAATTATTGTCAGCTGAAACCAAGGTGACAGGCAAAGCCACACCCTGGGAACACGCTTTGCCAAAAAGGCAAGAGTAATATCAGCACTGACTCCTACCTTTGCCCAGGTGTCGGGGAGTGTGACTTTGATATGTAAATCCAGTCAAGCACCAGGAATGCTCCGGCCTACTCAAGAATGCAAATAAGCTCCTTTGATCCTAAGTTCTGTGAAACCCCCTGGTATTTGGGGGTATAAAATAAACTTGCTGCATCTGCTCTGGGTCCCTGTCCCTCCATCAGAGAGGAGGGCGTCCCACCCGACTCCCAGCTTTCTCTCTCTTCATGTCTGGTCTCTTTCTTTTATTTTCAATCCCCAGCCACCTCTATTCAGAACCGGCTCATCTCTCTTTCCGTGCTGGATGTGGAAAAGAGAGACCCCGCCATATATGACTGATTATCATTTTAAGAAAGCACTTTAGCAATGAGATGGTATGACCACTTATAGTTGACTTACTTTCACCTCTGTGATTATTATAATTACTTTTATTAAAGCAAAAAAGAACAGTTTTACTCTTCTACTCAGTTAATGAATAACAGCATTTAAAACAGTCTTCCCTAGGTTAATTCTGAGAATTTGGTAAAGGTATATCTTGATATTCTTTTCCAGCCAAATCTGTAAGCAATTGTAAAGGAAATCAAATATCCAAATTGTGTGGATTTTTTCTTTTTTCTTTTCTGTTTTGGGTTCATTCTTTAAGTCAGGTCCTTAAAGTGGGAAAAAATGTGTAGAATGGTTTAATTTACAGTTTGAGACAGTAACAACATCCACTGGTTCATTGACAGTCTGTCGCAGGACTGTTGGCATGGGGGGGTAAAAGCCATGCCTTTATCAGATCAGCGAGCCAGGTGTCCTATGCCACACTTGGGCACAAGGCCAGGAGTAGGATGAAGCAAGTGAGACACGTAGGTATGGAATTTAAGGAGGCCTTCACTCTCACCCTTGTCCGGGGCAGGCTCGGGCACGTGGGAAGCTTCCAATAAACACTGGCTAAGGGAATGCATAAAGGAGCTGAACTACTGTGTTTCTGTAATAGCTGACGGAGTTCCTGTAATTGCTGAAAGCTGGCCCCAGAGAGAGGGGAGAGAGCAAAGGCCCACAGATCACTCTTAAGGCAACACGAGGACGGCGATGAAATGGTCCAGCTGTAAGCCCCAGGCCACGGGGTCCGACCTTCCTCAAAAGGGGCCAAATGTGATGAAGTAAAAATTCTTGGAAGATAACAGGGTGTGGGGAGACGACATCAGAGCAGTACCTGACTTTGAGAAGCTCAGTTTTGTTCGTGATGAGGAGTGCTGCTGTTTTTCAAGCTCCAACAGCTCCTCCAAAATCTCTAGGTGGGTGTCAGAGGTTGTGTGCTGGCTGTGCCTCTGATATGTGAAGAGGTGGGTTAAGAATCACTCAGGAGTGAAAAGGAAGTCCCCAGTGAGCAAAGAAACCAAATGAAACTCATTTTATTTTTCCTACCTCTTGTTTTCTTCTGACCATATATATTACACCACACTCTTCTATGACTTGAGCTGGGTGTTATTTTAATATCAGATTTCAATTCAAGGATCCCAGCCACCAATTCAGAACTCTCTAACGGGATCCAAGGCCAGCCAGTAACTCTGCTCAGCTGACCTTATTTCTGACAGCAAGTCCAGAAAGAAAATATTTCTGGGCTAAGTCTTTAGAAACCAAACAAAAATCATCCCTTAGGTCCACTTCGCCCCAAGTCAAGAATATTTCGGATCAGATTAAAGACAGGTTTGCATGATAAGAGCCCTCCAAAGCCATCCTAGGCCAAATATCTTAGAACAAACAAGGAGATTCTCTGTCTAATTCCAATTTTACCAGAGTGCCAGGGATCAGGTGGAAGGGATCTGTCACAGACAAGCTGTGCTCTGCCCAACATACTCTGACATTTTTCTTCCCCCTTCCCCCAGAGGTCTGGAAAGACAAAAATGTGTGTGGGAGGCAATAGAGCATAATGCTTAAAAGGACTGGAGTCAGAAGGCCTGGGGCTGAAGTCTCGCAGACTCTGGATTCCCTTGGGCCTCCGTTTCCAGATCTAGAAAGTAAACACAGTCCTTGCACCTGTCTGGTAGGGTTGGTGACAGCATTCACCAGATGGCACTTACACAGCACACAGAGCGGTACCCAACACAGTAAACATCCCATAAGGTTATCATGATTTAGTCCTCCCCCCAGACACTGTTTATAACGGCAACTCCCTTGCGTGAAAAGGCCACATGTGCTTTTCTTTTTCTTTTGGTCTCTATGGGTCTTTAATTCCATAGCCTTTCCCGTAGGAAGTGCTTAGCAGATACGGGCTGATTTGATTTTGAAGGCCCTCGCTCTGGCCTTTAGATCCCCCTCTGAGTGACTCCTGATTTGGAGGGGCACCAAATGTGTTCCAGCCCTCGGGTGTTTTCTTACATCCCTGCTTCCTTGCCATATCGTACACTAAACTCACCTAAGTTCCACTTCGGTGGTCCTACTACTAGTGGTATTGGATGAACTAATCCAATGTCCACTAGGAAATGAATAAACCCAGAGCTGAATGGCAAGCCTATTTCTAGTTGCTGACTGTTTATTGTCACTTTCGTGTTTCACACCCCTCAATCCCCTGTGATACGATATACAGTTTACAACTAGTGAAAGAGACCACAGAGGAGCTGAGTGCTGGGTCATGGTCCCTGTCCTCATGGCACAGAAACAACACAAGGACCATCTCATGCTGCCCCCACCCAGACTTGAAGCATGTTTCCAGTTTATTACAGTGAAAAACAACCCTAGCCGAGACCGGTTTGGCTCAATGGATAGAGCGTCGGCTTGGGGACTGAGGGGTCCTGGGTTCAATTCCGGTCAAGGGCATGTGCCTTGGTCGTGGGCATATCCCCGGTGGGGGGTGTGCAAGAGGCAGCTGATCGATGACTCTCTCTCATCGATGTTTCTAACTCTCTATCTCTCTCCCTTCCTCTGTACAAAATCAATAAAATATATATTAAAAAAAAGAAAAGAAAAACAACCCTTTCTTCTAAATACTACTCTGCAGCCCCAAAGAAGCAATCTTAAACCAATACACACCGCCGAGGCACACAGTTAGTATGCTGGTACACCAGACTAATGGACTCGTTAGAAAATATCTGGATAATCAAACGGTTCAAGAGTTCAAAATTCATCAAAATTCAATAGGCTAAATATGCCTCTGGGTTCTATTTCATTGAATTTGAAAACAGTGGGAGCAGACCCTGGGCCCTTGAGTAAGAACTGCTACAGAAGAAAAACGATACTGGCATTAAGACCAGCGGTCAATGTTCTCTTTGTGCAACATGAAAAAGTAACTTTATGAAATGATACATGTTTGAAATAAAGTATTTCTATGTTACTTGAGATTGGCCGATTGAATTTCCTTTTGCATGAAAGGAGAGTCCCTTTAACGGCTTCAGGAATGGAGTTGAAAAAGGAAAGAGTTCCCCCTCCTTATTCTCCCCCCATTAATATAAGCCTTGTTCAAATGATGGTAAAACTTCTAATGCATTTTAATAGGGTTTTTACCCAAAAGAAAGAAAAATGGTTAGAACTTCCATTCAGCTGACACTCATTGAATATCTCCGATCGGTAAACCCAGAGTTGAATACCAAGCCTGTCTCTAACTGTTTCCCATTTATTGTCACTTTGATCTATCTGATGCCTCAAACATAAGTGCAAAATTAATAGTCCAGAAGTTTTACCTTTTCCTATTATACAAATGAATTAGGTATATTGAAGAATATTGAGAAAATAGAGAACAGAAGAACAAAACCCCACCATTATAATTGGTTGTAGTTCTTAAGTTTGTTATGTAAACACTAGAGGCCCGGTGCATAAAATTTGCACACTGGGTGTAGGGGGGGTCCCTTAGCCCAGCCTGCACCCTCTCCAATATGGGATCTTTCTCACAATCTGGGACTGCTGGCTCCCAACTGCTTGCCTACCTGCCTGTCCAGCCTGATCTCCTCCTAACCACTTCCATACTAGCTTGATTGCCCCCAACTGCCCTCTGCTGCCAGTCCGTTTGCCCCCCAACTGCCCTACCCTGCTGGCCTGATTGCCCTAACTGCCCTTACCTGCCAGCTATCTTGTGGCAGCCATCTTGTGACCACATGGGGGTGGCCACCTTGTGCACGGGCATGATGGTCAATTTGCATATTACCTCTTTATTATATAGGATAGGTATGAGTTGGAATCATTCTATAATAATAAAGTATCTTTTCTACTTTTTTTTCAGTTACCATAAAAATTTTCAAGACCATCATTATAACTGAATTCATAATAACTACCCAGTGAATGTATATTAACCACTCTTTTATTTTGTTTTCCAATATTCCCATTCTTTCCCACCAATCATTCAATTATTTACTTATTCATTCCATTTCATTAGTATGTTTTAACACTCTGAACTATGACCACCAATGCTGGTCTAAAGGCTTATTATGTATTCTGTGTTGTTTCTTTAACATAAATTCCCA